ATATATATATATATATGCTTTATCATCAGAAGACCACTATGGTAAAGAATTATTCTCTCCTATACCATTTCCTGAAATATAGCAGGATGATGATGTGCAGAATCATACTCTTTGATTAAGACTGTCAGCATGCTAGCTACAGGAGAAATTAAGAACAAGTAATACTTGCCAAGTTTAACAACTAAATTATTTGATGACTTCAGTCCTATGCCTTTCATTTCACTTATGTTTTCCTTCATTGGAACAAATTTGATGAAGTGAGTATATTTTCAGTCTCGTAAATTTTTTACAAGTCTAATGCTTGTTTGCCATATTCATAAAGCTTCAACACTCATTAGGCCATCAATTTTAGCTTTTTTTAATTAATGATTTGGTCAATAAACCGTTTGAACCGTCCAACGGTTTGGTTGTTTTTTATTTTTTTATTTGTTTTTGTCAAACGGGCTATTCGTTCTATTTGAACAGTCGAACCGTTTGACCCAAGAACCGAACCCCTAACCAGTTCGATTTTAAAAACCTTGGGTTCTACAAAGGCTGACATTTTAGCTGCACTTAAAAGGGCTCCTAACTGCAAAAGAGTTGGGACTGTCTTTCCTATGTTAATACTATAAAGTGGCTAGAGGAGAGGATGGCAGCCCTTAGGAGGATAGCTCAATTAAACTCTTTAGATGTCTACAAGGAAGATCTGTCTAGTGATAGAATTTTCTTACTTTGTACATCATCTCATGTACCCACTTTTATTTCTTATTATGTAAATCCATTATTTATTCTGAAAAAAGTGTATATTACATATTAGTTTGAAAAACCTTTGCGTGCGCTTTCCACATTTAGCTTTGTAAGTTAGTTTCATGAGTGCATTTTCTACTATCTCTTAATGTCCACAATTTGATTATAGGTACATTGCAGCTGGGAATGATCCCACCTGAAAAATAATTATTTTCTTTTTGGATTAATTTTGAAAAGAAGTGTGATTTTGCACAAACTTGCTTTTATTTATAAGGACATACAAAATAAAATTGAAAAAAAAAATTATTTTATTTAATTTTGCATTTTGCCATTTACACACAATTCTAATTCTAAGTTTTTTCTTAGCAAGTGGTCCAGAGGCAAATTGTCCTGTCATTAGCCTTGCTAGTTTATATTATTATGTATATAATTATAAATCATATGATTGTATAATTAGATTGCATTACATTATAATATAAAATGAAATAAAATAATATGGTATGACAGAATATAATTATATATTTTGAATATATTAAAATATAATATATATTATATATGTGTGTGTAATAATTAGAATTTATATATTTAATAATAAGCTATATATTATATTATAATATATTCAAAATATATAATTATATTCTGTTATAACATATTTTTTATTTTGTTTAATATTATAATCTAGTGTAATATAATTTATATAATATATATCAAATTCTATAATATCCACAATTATATGATATATAATTATATTCATAATTATATTAACTATATGCATATATTCAAAATATATAATTGCATTCTTCTATTACATATATATTTTTGTTTTAATTTCAAATTTTTATATTAAAAATTAAGATTTGAGGCAAAAAATGCATTTTTTGGCAAAAATAGTGGGGCTTGTCACCTTAGGAACATGTAGATCTTGAAAGTTACCCAAAACAAAAAAGATAACCCCAATTTGTCATCCGAGCACAAAGTTATGCCCTCTATAAGTTTGCATTAAGTACTAAAAAATAAAATAAAATAAAAAACAGTTGGTTTCTAAAACTGTGATCGGGTCACCAGTTTTTCCATTAAATCGCAGTTTTGGCTAGTTGACCAGATCATCGTGGCATTAGCAAGTGCACTACCCGTTCAAGTAATAAAGTAGTGAGTGAAGTATCATTCCCACAAGGATTTAGAAAACAATTACTAATACTAAATTTGTCACTTCTTATTTGATCAACAACAAATTAAAACTTTATTAAAAAACTAAAAATCCTAAACTAAAATCTATCTAAAACATTAGCTCAATTGCCCTAAATTCAGGTTAGAAGAGTAAGAAATAAAACCCAATTTCAAGATTCAACCATCAATCAACTTGAGTCATTCGAATAGGCCATGATTAAACCTTGGTTTGGTGAAACCCCAAGTCATGAGCAGCATTTTTCAAGTGCATGTTCATCCTATGCATGAATGATGATCCCTATATCTCTATCAAGGATCTAATCATTCATGCATGCATTTCTTCAAACACATCTTAGGCATCAATTCAAATCTGAATTGAATTCCTTCAGCCCTTCTTACAATAGATCTCTGAATCAAAAACCCCAAATTTTGAACTCACATTCTCTTCTTACTAGCTTGACCTGAACTCCTTCAGCCCTTCTTCTTCCCCTCCTTGCGCCTAGCCCTTATTCTCTTCTCTTCTCTTCAAGGTGTTCGAACCTCTAGGAGTGGGAGAGCCTTGATCTCAAGCAATTGAACACCTCTCCCCCCTTCTAGATGCCTCCTTATATAGATTTTCAAGGGGGCTCTTGCCCCTTCTTGAAGCCTCTAGAATGGGGTGTATTACACCCCCTTCTTGAGGTTTCTAGAGTTCTCTCTTGAAAGCCTTCTAAGGGTTGCCGCCCCTAGCTCTTTGGGCTGCACTTAGGGTCCCTCTTAGCACATGATAGTTACACTCTATGTTGCTCTTTTGGGCTGAGAATGGGCCTTCTCTGCTAGGCCGAATTTTACTCTTTGCTAGGCTTTCTTTTCTTGAATTTTTTCAATGAATCAACTTGTATTTCTTGGGCCAAATTGTGCTCTCTTGCTTCCATAACCGGGCTAGGCTGAATTTGGTCTTTTTGGACCTTTTTTTCTTACTTTTTGCCTTCTTTTTCTTGGATTAATTACCCCTGAAATCTTTTCTTAGCATAAAGCTAAATTAAGGCAAAATTAAATAAAACCGGCATAATAATTAATGCAAAGTCCTCATAAATTATAGATAAATTGTATGTTCATCAAATACCCCCACACTTAAGCTTTTGCTTGTCCTCAAGCAAAGACATCAGCCATAAACTGAACATTCTCCCCTTTTATTCTCACCATTTACCTAATGAATTTTTTTTAAGATAGAAATGCATTGAGTAGTCGGGGAACTTTTGTAATTGTTCAGCTCCTATTCTTGTAAACTACCATTTAACACATGTATAAGATCCAAGCAAAGGAGAATATGAATTTCTTCACAGTCCAGTCTTCACTCCCACTCAATATAAATCAGCTCATTGATTGTCAAAATTAATAATCAAATTGAACTAAGTTCACATATGTAACTATATCTTAATGAGAGTTCAACTTTAATATGCTCTTTTGAACCTTAGCTGTCACCATAAATACTTATTTCTAGGGGAGAGTGCATTTTATGCTCCGTCTCACCTTTTTCTTCTTCTTTTAGTGTGAGTGCATTTTATGCTCTATCTCACACACTCTTTTTTTCTTGAGGTAAGACTCATGTTTTGAGCTACTAGTTTTACTATTCAACTCAAAATAGTGGAGTCAATTTGGGCTCAATTATTGAACCTCATGTWTCAGCAATTCAGATGTGCACTAGCTTTCTTGACCATTAACAATGAAATCAAGTGCTTTCATACAYATGAAGGTAGTTAAGGCTAGTTATGCTGAAAGACATATTCAGTTCCCCCTTTTTCTCATGCATATATTAAGTTGGGTCCTTCGCAAATATAAAAACTTAACAATTACATTGGTCTCCCTCAACTCATTGTATTCCTT